TTATATCTTGGCATAATGATCCATCATCTCCTAACTACGTGTACTTTATTCATTAAATAATAAAGTAACCAGTACTTTTAAAATTTCTATTGATTATTATTTATATAAATAAGTACTTTAAAAACAACCAAAACACAATGTTCACATTAAATTAACAATAGGGGAAAACATGTGAATTGTTGATTTTACTCTGATAAGTGCCATTTTATCACCTAGCTTCAATTATTGATACATTAAATGAAAAATACAAGATTAATTATGTCAAAACAGCAATTAATGACCCTGTACAAACAATTAAAGCACTTAATCAAATGGAATTGAAAGAATTCTTTCAAAATAGGAAGACAATACCAGACAACAAAACAGCTACTTTTCAAAATTAAATTTACCACCTTACTCAATGCAATTAAATTACCTTACTGAAAGGAAACTTTAAATTCAAAATAATAATATAAAAATCATTGATTCTACAGATGTTGCTCATTAACCTATAACACACTGATAACCTTTACCCCGTATTGCAAGATGAAAAATCTAATTTACGAAGCGGCAGGTGGGCAAGAAAACCTCTACAGGAAAAGAAAAATAATGATGAACTCACGCAATAAGCAAATAATCAGACATGTGCTAGCACCACAAAAACTAGTGGCTGGCTTTCTACAAGCATAAGGTGGTTTACTAATTATTATCTTTGTATCAAACTTAATTGTAATACAGGCTTAATAAGAACATTGTTTTTAACCTCCAGGTAAGATGTAGGATTTCTAGTTTAAAAGAGATCCAGTTTGAACAATGAAAGATATAGAAACAGACTTCAGAAAAAAAATTTTGCAATAGCTTTCACATAATTCAGCTCAAACTGGTTTTAAAAAAATTCCAAAATTGAATAGAAAATAAATTGTAAACCCAAATGTCATTTAAAAAAGTAAAAATCTAAAACATAAAATAAACCTTGTCACAATCTTGCAAAGGACAATTTTGATTTTCAAATTTACATTCAAATAAAGAAATTACAGCAGCTCATTGGCTAGATGTAGGTTAGGGGATTAATAAAAAAATTTGCTTACACAGAAGAATTGAAAGAAAATTGGAAATAAATTGTTTTTTTAAATCAAATTATAAGGAAACTCTGTATTAGCTATATTTATTCTTGATGAAACTAAATTATTTATTTTGAAACAACTTTTGACAGCACAAGTGAGGGGTTTGTTTAGATTATAATCTTCAGATTTTAAACGTTTTTTACTCCAAGAATCTCTACAATAGATCCAAAATTATCTTTACCTTGAAAGAAAATCTTTAATTACCAAAGAAAACAAACTTAAAAACAAAAAACTGAAACCATAAATATTATTCTACACTGACCTCATTATTTTTGTAACTGAATTTTTTTAATGAGAAAACTTTGAAATGCAGTCAGGATGTTTATTTAATTATACAGGTGAACTGTTTTGATCATTGTAAATATTATGAGAAAAATATTTTGAATGAGATGCCCAACAGTTAAACAAGTTCTTTTTCTTTAAAACCTTAAACATAGGTATTTCCACAAACACAAGAGTAAAATAAATAATCATGCTGATGCAAGAACCTAATCTATTACTGCTGTTTAACTTGTAATTTATGTTTGGTTTTGAAGTAATATACATAAAAATGTGGTCCATTTTAAAAAGCTGCAGAGCCATTGCAGATTGGTTTAGGGGAAAAAGACTTTAAAAGTTTTTTTTATTTCACAATGTCTGTGAGATGGTCAAATCTAGTAATTCTATTTAGATTTAGACCCACATCTAATTATTCTTATTTTTGTTCAATCTTAACTAATTTCTTTCCAATAACAATACAAACTTAATAATCTGAATTGAAATTCAGTTGGTATTAAAAATTAATTTTAAGTTTACTGTTTAAAAAAGGGAGGTAATAAGATAAAGTATGAGTGATTGCTCAATCAGCAAAGTGACCATGAAGAGATGATTTTTAAACCAGAGATTCAACAAGCTCTATCAATAAGGGGCAGATAATTGGGGCTAAGAGTTAAGATCACAAACTACGCATAGATTTTATAGCAAATATATTTAGGGACATGGGGTGAATAAATGGAAAGAATAAATATGGCACAATTGGCCTAAATATCGCAACTGAATGATTTAGCTTTCAAAATTAAAATGTAAAAAAAAAAAAAAAAAAAAAAAAAAAAAAACAACAATGCTTTTAAATGCACCAAAAGTAAGAAAAAAAATCTTTCTTTTGGCAAATGTGGTCACTTAGACATTTAATAGACCAATGCTTTTTCAATGTAAAATTAATGTATTTTCATAATTAAATTATCCAAAACAAAAAAAAAAAACAGAATGAAAAGAAAAAAGCTACACTCTCCTAAAAATGCTATCCCCTTGCTAATTTTTTTTATTGATACTAGCAATGTAAAGTAGTAGTATGGCAAAAAGGGAAGTAATGTTAGATAAAAAAAAATTAATCTATAGTTAAAGCTATTAATTTTTTTATAGCTTTTATCATTCTGGTTATGTGTGTGTTGTACAGGCTGGCCCTATAACTGTTGATGTGTAATGAGTTAGTTGAACCCATCAGCACAAATATAATAGAATAACTGAACTAATGTGCTTTGGATTTATTTTAAAATGTGAATGTTTTACCATGTTATTACAAAATTAAATATACATTGACCCATTTTTGATAGTATTGTGACCATAACCTCAATTCAACAACTGTACCAGCAGTAAAAACCTTGCTGCTACATCATCAGATTACCCAAATTTTGTTTTACACAAACCAAATTAATATATCAGTGCAGTTCTGATGTTTTTAAAAATTTTACATTTTAGTGCTAAGAAAATGATTATGAAATAGATTTTACACCCTAAATAATTCTAATGATTCAGAAACATTAAGAGAAAATTCAATGACTATTAAATATGTTTTTATACACTTAATTTTCAGACTAGCTAAAAGTTTACTTTGCTTTTCAAGGTACATAACTCTTAATGCTAGTAGAATGAAATTATTAAAGGGGACGCTTATATTGTGTGTACGAATTATTATTTTTTCTTGCACATTGCTTTTGTGTTTAGCATGGTAATATTAACAAATACTTAGTATTTAAAGGAATTATATCTATGATCTTAAAGAGAATAGTAAGTATGAGTAGCAAATCATTATTTTACTGACTGTACAAGCAGTTTTAGATTTTAGGAAGTGTTTTAGAATTAGAGATGAAAATTGAGAACAAGTCCCAGAAACCAAATTAGTCTAATAAGTTTTTGCTCTTTATCTTAAGACAGGTAGTTGCTGCTAAAATTAGTAGCAAAAAAAAAAAAAATAAATAAATAAATTTGTGTAGTTCAACCACACAAGAACTTTACGTTCATTGATGTATGTTACTTAATCTATAAATAGTTAGATAGATTCAACAGATTATCCTAGAGATCTAGACAGTGCGCAAATAAAAACTTTATACTTTATACTATTCGTCAACTCACTCTGCACCACTACTTATTGGCTTATTAGGCTACGTATTTTTCCCTTATGTCAAGGCCCTAGGCATAGAATCTAAATAGCATTCTAATATACATACATGGCCTATTTATTTTAGAATATAGAACAAAAAAATTAGATCCATATCAGAAAGTATTGGAAAGTAATGTGACAGATGAGCTAGGATTAGTTAGTAGAGCTTTTTCTTTAGCCCAAGGCCTAATTCAGTTGAGTCAGCATATTCATCCAATTATTTGCAGTAGAAGGAACTGTGTAAAAAAATTAGATCTAAGATTGTAACTAAGAAAAACTTTGGCTAAACTTATCAGTCTCCACCACCCTCACTCCCATTTAGCTGTGTAGACTAAAAACAAAATTGTAAACATTATTTTCATAAAGTATCATATAAGGCCCTAGCCTAGGCCTATTTATTAAAAGTAGTAGGCCTACTCTTAACTCTCACTGTACTAATACTACATCTACAATGTAACTATAGGCCTACTAATCACTATTATAATATTATTAGTCTATTGATCTATGAATTAGGGCCTACTAGTACTAGGTCTATACTGGTCTATACAGATCTATATGATCTAATCTAGAGCTTCTAGGGAGTATAGTCTTTTATAGCGTACAAACTAGCTGGTTTAACTGCTAAACTTTAGCTTTAGATCTATATAATCAAATTAGTACTAGACATCTAGATCTAGAATCTAGAGTTTAGCAAAATAAAGAAGTTATTTACTAGATCTACTAGATTTCTAGATCTAGATTAGATCTAAAAAAAATTGACTAGGGCCTAAGCAAACATAATAAATGCAGCTAAATCTAGATCTAGACTTTTTTTCATAGTTGGTGTGTCCTCTCAACTCATGTAATTGTATTCATTCACCATTATTGTATACTGTATTATACACTATACAGTGTATAATATACTATAGTGTAGTGTGTGTGTGTATGCCGTGTATGGTTATGTTATGTATATGTATTGTAAATTACGCTTCACAATAGTGTGACAATAGGCCTAGGGCCTAGATCTATATATATATGATATTTATTATACAAGGCCCTATACTATAGATTTTAGATCTAGTTCTAGTAGGAGTGTCCAGCTAGATTTCTAGATCCATCAATTATAAAATTTGATATGATATCATTCAACATTACTCATTAGTATTATTAGAGTTAAGTAGGCCTACAAAATGTTGAAAATAAGTTTAGATTAGATCTTCGTAATATCGAGATTCTAGAATCCCTACTCTTGCCTCTATCTAGAAGAGTAGATCTAGTCTAGATCTAGACTAGATACTAGATAGCTCTATCCCTCCTTACACTACTCCTACGGTTACGACCTTAGTTCTGGCTTACACAGTGACACACTACCTACACTCAACCTCAACACTTCAACACTGTGCAGTGTGGTGACTACACACATTTTTTTTGAGCATGGATAAAAATAAAAATAACTGCAAATCAACTCTTTAAAATTACAAAAGTGATATAAATGTTACCTGCAATCTGTAGCGGTATGAAGTACTAATCATCGACAAATCTTAGTCTTGATATGATATAGAATAGTTCGCTATTTTACTCCCTTAACAACAACACTAGCTACTCTATAATATACTCTATAGAAGTGTGTCTGAAATCTATATTAAGCAGTGTGTGTCAGTAGGTCACCGTTCTCTAGACAAGTTGTGCCAGTTGCCAAAATGTTTTCGTGTGTAAAAAGAAACAACCAAATAGATAAAAATTGTGTAAATTTTACAGTATTAAATTTCATTGTATTTTATTCTACATTAGTGATATCAAAATGAAATAAAGAATATATGCGGCTTAATTAAATAGTCTGCCATTAAATACTAAAGATAGATCTAGCAGTTATGGAGTATGGAGTTGTGCATTTGAAGCAATCGTATCTTAACCGGCAGGTTCATTTTTTTTTTCAAACAGCCTTATGACAGTGCTTTTTATTTTTATTTTTTTGGGCCTCCAGGAATGTCACCTATTGCATTAGTAGTAAATCTAATTCGTGTGCTAGATATTCTAAGACTGGCTGTAATAAGATGTATTTCTTATTCCCGTCTTCACCATCAGATTTTCTATATGGGGAAAAATGAGGAAATGTTTTACATAAAACAAGAAATAAAATCACATGAATTTAGTAAACCACAATGCCAATATTATTCAACATAGTTGTTTATAATGAACATCACTGAACTAACCAGTTGCTTTCAGGCATCTCGAAGAAGGTGTACCGCCCCCCCCCCCCCTTCCTCCGATCGAAATGGAATTTATATAGACGACATAAAGGCCTACTTTAACCAGTGTTCCTCCCCCGGAAAATGTTCCCCCCCCCCTCACCCCGAAAATATCAAGTGCCCCCCCCCCCCCGAGAAAAAAATCTGGAAGAAACACTGGAACTAACTCAGCTATACTAAAACAATAACTAAAACAATTTTAAATATATATATATATATATATATATATATATATATATATATATATATATATATATATATATATATATATATATATATATATATATATATATATATATATATATATATCATGCTCCATCAGCTTGCTCGATACTAGCTTAGAAAAACAAGCATCGTATGTTACCATGCTATTCATAGCCACAATATGTCAATAATGTATGCATTCAGACAGCTACACATTTGTGGGTTGTGTTTGGAGAGGGGGGGGCGGTCGTCCCAACAATTTTAAAGCAGAATTGACAAATGACTAGGCGGTGGCTAAAATGTGTACGCAAAGGTGGGACGGGACTGGCTGTTTTTCCTATGACCATTTTCGTGAGAGTGCCGCCTTTTTTCGAAGAAAATGTAAAATAACAGGTTACATATGCTGTAAAGATCAGTGGAGCGCACGTCTGCGAACCTAAACGTCTCGCGTTCGGGCCCATGACTTGGGTCTATGGCCATCCCCGAGCCGCCTAGCTCTGTTAGGTTACTGACGATAGTAAAGACGACTGAGCATAGTACTGATTACACTATTCATTTATAGATAGAAACAGATGAACTCTACTTTGTAAGGATCGCCAGGTTCAAAACGGTTATTTTACTTTCAGAAACTGCAAATTTGAAACTTTTATTCATTAGGGTCAATTTTATTTAATAGTATGTTAATTCTTACCTTTTTAAAACTCATCATATGCACAATTGGCGAGTTGTGCTTTAAAGATGAGCTCTCTATCTCCCATCACAGTGTATTGTCAGTTTTCTTTAGCATATCTACTTCCACTGTTAGTTCTCTTTAGCATCTCTACTTCTACTATTGTCCATCCATCTATTCACCGTGACACTCAAGTATAGCCCATGGACGACTTCAGTCTACTTTCAACCCTTTCTTCCATTTAGAAATGTCTTGTCTTTTCCTTCTGTCTAGAAGCCAAGCTGTCGTAGGTAGGATTATATCTCCACATCAGCTATCCAACTAAGCTAAGGTTTGCTTTTTTGTCATTTTCTTTTGTGATATTGTATAGGTCACACAACACCTTCTTTTATTTTTTTTCTGGTATTCTTAGAGGAAGACGGAGGGTAGAGGAAGGGGAAGACGACACAGCACCACCCCCCCCCTCTCAAAATCACTTCCTTGTATTGGTCATACAAACTTGTATTAATACACAACCTTGTATTGGGCATTCACAACCTTGTATTGGTCAAACACAACCTTGTATTGACCAAACACAACCTTGTATTGACCAAACACAACCTTGTATTGGTCAAACACAACATTATATTGGTCATACACAACCGTGTATTGGTCAAACTTTGTATTGGTCATGCACAACCTTGTATTGGTCATGCACAACCTTGTATTAGGGGACGGAGTGGTCTAGCGGTAGAGAGCTGGACTGCTAACCCGTAAGCCTCGAGTTCGAATCCGGGTTCAAGTCAGTAAACCGTCCCTGAGTCCACCCAACTCTGATGGGTACCTAACTCACGTTAGGGGAAGTAAAGGCGGCTGGGCATAGTGCTGACCACACTATCTCTTCATATGCCGAGGTCACAGAAACAAGTGAACTCTACTTCACTTGCCCCATAGACCGTCAGGTTTGAAAGGGAAACTTTACTTTTTTTTTTTACAACCTTGTATTGGTCATATACAACCTTGTATTGGCCATACACAACCTTGGTCCTACACCATGTTGTATTGATCAAATAGTGTAGCACAGTATCTGCATTTGATTTGCCAACAGATCCAAATCACTGGTCTAACAAAGTTCAGCAATACCCATTAGCGCACTCATTCGTAGGTGTGTCGGTGTTTCGTTCATAAGCGAGAAATACAGTACTAACAACAACATCATTATACTTCGCTTCACAGAGTAATCACGTTAGTAAATGTTTGTAACACAGCATTATCCACACAGCATAGCCTACCATTGAATAAGCCCTGTCCAGTTTCATTATATACTTTTTAAATGCAATCGACTTTAGTGACTTAACAATGGTGCATGGTTTTCGCTTTAAAAAAATAGATCTTTCAAATTGATTAGGTTGAATCGACTGCTTTATTGAGCGGTTTAAAACCTGCTGCCTATGTAAGATATAATCTGATGTAATCTTGTACAGGTAGGCCTTCATAGGCACACTGTTAAAGGGAAAGTGCTAGCGAAAGGGAATTTATATAGAAAATTTAAGAAAATAGATACTTTTAACAGTGTCCGCCCTCCGAAAATTTTAGTCCGCCCCCCCCCCCACCGGAATTTTTAAGTGCCCCCCCCCCCCCCCCGGAGAAAAAAGTCTGGAAGAAACACTGCCACGTCTTGAGCACGAACGGCAAAAGATGATAAATATGAGCCAAGATGTTCGGCGCGTGCTGATGTACCTTACAATTTACCGTATCACTACGATATGTAAAAATCATTTTTAACATACTTAATTAAATAGTGTAAACTTTTCAAAAACAAGCGAAACATGGACAAAAAGCCTCACAAAATTGGTTTGAAAATGTAAATTATCACACATTAAGAAAATTATTCTTTGTTCCATTTTTTCATTTTAACAATCAGACATTTTATATAACATTTAAAAAGAAATTAAGCTTCTGATAATTATTTAGCAATTTCGAGTAATTAAAAATAGATGAGTGAACAATGCAAGGTTGTGTCCAACATGTTATCAAAGTAAAATATTTTTAAAACGTAAAAACGTTTTGATATAACAGGCAAAGACCGAAAACCTGGATACTCCCCCTTCATGGGTTGGCTACTCTATCTAGATTCGGTTAGGGGGATTAAGGGCATAGAAGAAAAAGGTAGTCAATTTGGTTAAAGTTTGGCTCTTTACCCAATTGTTTGTGTACAAGCCTAGTCTTCCATAAGAAATTTTGAAAAAAAAAATATAGCCAAAAAAAGAAAGTTAAAAACAAATATAAAAAAATATCTCCTTATGAGTGTCCATTTTCCGTAACAGTTCAAACCTGTTCCCAGTTACGTTATAGATCACCTGTCAATATTTACATGGTATCTTAATCAGGTGAGAATTTCTTTTTTAGCCGAGCCAAGTTGATGTTGGATGCACCTTAAGTCTAACGTTTTAAAATCCGAGGGATTATTTTGTCATTATTGAGGACGTCATATACTTTAGCTGGCTAAAATAAATGCCCCAGGGTTGCTACTTCGCTCACTTTTATAAGCTTTTATTTAGTTCACAATGACTGTTTGTTTATTTGTTCCTTAGTCAGTGGCGTAGCTACCGTAAAGCTAGCGTAAGCAAGGCATAGGGGCCCGAGGCAAATAGGGGCTCTTTTTCGAAAGTTTGAGGGGGATGCAAATCGAAAGTTTGAGGGGGGTGCAAATCGAAAGTCTGAGGGGGGGGGGGTGCTAATCGAAAGTTTGAGGGGGGGGGGGGTGCAAATAGAAAGGTGTCCCCGGTCGCCGGGAAGGGTTGCTACGCCTCTGAGGGGCCCACTAACACTTTTTGCAAAAATCCTAGCTACGCCACTGTCCTTAGTATGGGTTTGATGTAAATCTTGTGACTCAGTTTCGACCCACTACAAATACATCTTCGTATGAACTTTCCAGAGAGCCTACACTCCTCTCCGAAGACAGCGCAAGAATATCTAATTTTAAGATTAGTTAGATATTCAATTAGTCGTTAAAATTAATTAAAATATTTTAAAGTTCAATAAGAGAGAAGGAGATAACAGGGCCAAGAACTAGCCGATGGCGGTGAACTATTGGTCACAGATGATTGGATAATACGCTGTGGCTGAGGAAGGGAAGTAAATCATCTTTAAAAGAACGCACGCTACTGATCTGGTTTGAAAGAAAATTATAAATTTTAGTAGTATGTTTTGTCTACTTCAATAAGAAAAAACAAAATGCAAACGAAAATCTAAAAAAAAAATAATAACTTACATTACTAAAATAAGAAAATAAATAAAACAACTGTAAAAACATGTATAATAATAAGCTTTTAAATAAAATAAACATATCTACAACCTGTAGTAAAAAGCACCCGGCGACCGTGAAATATCTATATATATAATTCTCTTCTGGGAGCCGTTAGAAAACAAGCTGCAAACGCTCTCCCTACCTCCCCACCCCTACATGGTTTTAGTGAGCTGTGTTCACTCTAAATGTTGACA